GAAGACATGGTGGATATGTTGCAGTTGGGTAAGAGTAAAATGTTCTACAGAGAACCTATTTGTGGGCAGTTGATGCAGATAATTAATGATGGGACTGTTATGCAGATGTTTATGGCCTATAACAAGTCATCTTTGATTAAGATTTATGTCACTAATATTGAGAATGAGGATTATAGTTTAAGTGCACAAGTTCTGCATAAGTGGACAGAATACCTAACCCAATCAATGGATGACAGTGGCCCTGTACAGCCTAACAGTGACCATGTCCAGCCTAACAGTGATCATGTGTAGCCTAACAGTGACCATGTGCAACTTTACAGTGATCATGTGCAGCCTAACAGTGATCATGTGCAGCCTAACAGTGATGATGTCTCAGTTAATGAAGAGGATGAAATATATGATGGGGAAAATACTGAAGAGTTAGATGATGTCTCAGTTTATGCACCAAGTAATGAGCTATGGAGTATCCATAGTGACTCAGATGATGAGATACATGTTCCTTGCAAAAAATCAGAATTCATTACTAGGAGGGAAATGGGAGAGAAGGAAGAAATATTAATGGTGGAAATGGAGTTTACTAAATTTGCAGAATTCAAAGATATGTTGAGAGAGCATGCTATAAAGAACAAATATGACATCAAGTTTGTTAAAAATGATGGACAAATGGTCACATGTAAATGTAGAAATGACTGTGGGTGGAGGATACATACTTCAAAGAGAAAATCAAATGGTGCCATTGTGATCAGTACATTCAATGATAAACACAACTGCTCTGAAGTTCAAATAAGCAAACTAGCAACATCTTCTTATCTTGCAAATAAGTATGTCCATAAGTTTAGGTAGGACCCTGAGCGGAAAAATTCTGGTTTTATGGGTCAGATTACTGATGATTTGAACCTGGTAGTTAGTTGGTTCAAAATTTGTAGGGCAAAGAGGAAATGTCAGCTGATGATTGATGGCACACATGAAGATCAATTCTCAAAAATCAGAGAGTATTGTCAATTAGTATTGGAGACAAATCCTGGAGTTGTTGCTAGGGTTGATGCATGTTTGGAGCCAGATGGGAAGTCTACAAGGTTTGAAAGACTATTTTTTTCATTGGATGCAATGTGGAAAGGCTTTAAAGAGGGTTGTAGGCCATTCATTGGCTTAGATGGCTGCTTTCTAAAAACTCATTACAATCAACATTTATTAAGTGCTATTGGTAGAGATGGGGACAGTAGCTTCTATCCCATTGCATTTGGTATTGTGGAAGCAGAGACAAAGGATACTTGGGATTGGTTTCTGGCTAACCTCATGGATTTGCTCAGCCCCCACAAACCAATAACATTCATTTCAGACAGACAAAAGGTATGTTAGCAAAGTATTTTAGTTTTAAAACTGTATTTACTGATAGTATAAAACTGCATTTACTGATAGTATAAAACTACATTTACTGATAGTAATATTATGATTTTATTATAGGGTTGGTTGACACACTTGAGTAGCTTAGGTCAGATCACAGATTTTGTGTAAGGCACATGTATGACAACTTCAAAAAGAAGTTCCCAGGGTTGGAGTTGAAGCAAGAGTTATGGGATGTAGCAACTTCTTTGACTTTGAGGGACACATGCAGAGAATCAGTGAAATTAACACAGATGCATATGATTGGTTGGCCAAGATACCCCCTCATCTGTGGGCTAAGTGTAAGTACACAGAATGGTCAAAGTGTGACCTTAACAGCAATAATATGTGTGAATCATAGAATTCACACATACTAAAGGCCAGAGATAAGCCCATCATCACCATGCTTGAAATGATCAGAAAGTCCTTGTTGAGGAGGTATCAAGAGAAAAAAGAGTACATGGAGGGGTAAAATTGGTTGTTGTGTCCATCTCCAGTAGCTCAGCTAAAATTGAACAAGAGGAACTCAATGAGTTGTCCTGCTCACCTCTCTGGAAAAGCCATTTATGAGGTTGAAGATGAAGGAATGACTGAAATTGTTGACTTACATAAAAAAAGCTATAGTTGTAGGGCATGGGATATCACAGGTATCCCATGTAAGCATGTATGCACAGCTATACAAAAGAGAAGAAGGGCAGTTCTTGAAGAGTTTGTTAACTTTTACTTTTACCGAGAAACATTTTTGAAGTCATATGCAGGGATGGTATATCCAATAACATTGAGAAGTATGAGAGAAGTAACTGGGGTGGTTCCAATAATTCCTCCTATAGCTACGAAACCCCCAGGCAGGCCAAAGAAAATGAGGAAGAAAGCTCATGATGAAGGTACATCAAGTGGAAAACATGTGTACAAACAAAGGGCTCACCTTATTTGTGGAAAATGTCAATTAACTGGTCACAACTCAAGGACTTGCAAAAATGAACAAGTGCAGAGAGGACCACCTAAAACCAAAGGAGGTAGACCCCAAAACCCTCAACTTGGAGTATTGTATGTTCAAAAGGCTACTGAAACTGTTTTTAATGGGAGTGGTAGAGGTAGTACTTCAGTGAGAGGTAGTACTTCAGTGAGAGGCAGTGGTTTTGGGAGTAGGATTGGCATTGGTAGAAGTGTTGGGAGTAACAATGTGTTGGGAAATACTTCACTGAGAGGTGTTGGTGGCACTACTATGGGGACTGGTAGTAGTGGTGTTGGGACTAACCATGCTATGGGAAGGACTTCAGTAAGAGGCAGTGGTGTTGGGAGTAAGAATGGCATAGGTAGAGGTGGTGTGAGAGGCAAGGGTGGTGGCAGTCATAGGGTTGTAAATGTTGACATTGGTGCAGCCAACTTAACTGATGTCCTAGTGATGGCTACAGGGATCAACAGTGAGGTATATGCATTGATTTATATTAATTTTTGTTTTTATTTTACAAGTGTTGTCAACTCAACTTTAACTTTAACTTTACCATCTTTATAGGTTATCAATGTTTCTCAGTCTCAGATTGTTGACATGCTACATACACTAGGGAATGGTACCCAAGAAAGCCAAGATTGGTGGTTTTAGGTAAATGAATTTTTAATTTTACTTTTTTCCATTCAAAACACATACTTGCTTAGGGCAGTTTTAATTATTTTGTACCACTTATTTGTTGTAGATTCCACTATCTAAAACTGTTGCCTTTGTTTCATCCAAGTTTCAATTTACTTCAGTCCAAGGTGTTGCCTTTTGCTAGTGGATAGTTACTGGACAACATGCGACTTGTATGGTAAATCTGAAGTAATCTTTTGTGTATTTGATTCACGGATTAACAAATGGACAACTATTGTTTTTTGTTTTTAATATCTGGTTGACTGGATATGGATAGTAATATGTATGTATGTATGTGCTGTGTTGTTGGGGAACTATGGAGCTATAATATTTATGTATGTATTCTATGTGTCTGTGTTGTTAGGGAACTATGGAGCTATAATTTTTATGTATTGTATGTGTCTATGTTGTTGGGGAACTGTGGAGCAATATCTAGGTATGTATGTTGTTTGGGAACTATGGAGCAATATATGTGTGTTTTTTTTTTGGCGTAAATTATGAATGTCTATGTTGTTGGTGATTGTGATTATTTAACTTATTGAATGTTGTCATTGAATGTGTGGTGCAGGCTATAGTTGGTCATTTATTGAATGGTTGGTCACCATTGAATGGGTGGTGCAGTAGGTCTGTATATGTGAGTGTTGTTGGGCACAATATTTGCATTAAATCAGGATGTAGTTGCATTTAAAAAATTAAAATCAAACAGGTTACAGTTGCTTTCAAACAGGTTATACTTGCATTCAAACATGTTATACTTGCATTCAAACAGGTAACACAAGTAAAGAACTAGAAAACATGTTTTTGTTTACAAGGTTTCACATTACTAGCTTGAACAATACAACACAAGTAAAGAACCCAAAAAGAAAATTGAGAATGGAACCATTAAACTGAGGTAAGCATCTTCTTTTAGGTTGGGCATATACTGCATGCTTCATTTGTCTTAATTCTGCTATCCAGTTTTCCATCTCCAAAAGCCTGCCATCATTCACATTCATGGTTGTAGCTTGACCAACTAATGGAGAATTAGCTCTTTGCAAGTCCCGTAGCTCTCGTATCTCTGTCATAAGATCCCAAATCAATTTATGGTAATAATCAGGCAATTCTTCATCCTCCCACCTCAAAAAACCACATGAACTAGTCCTGTAGTTGGCGCACCCGTAAAACCTTCTACCAAGATTTCTTTGGATAGATGACACCTTCAAAGGACTTTTAACTCCACATTTACAGTAATATTCTTTCACTGACCTCCCAGATGGGTAACAATGGCTTCTTGAGCTTGAAGATGATGGCATGTTTTGGAGTAAATGAAATTTTTTTTTGAGACAATTAATAATATAAAGAAAGAAATGAAGAAATGGAGAAGAGAGAGAGAGAGAGTTGTTGCTCTATTGCAAGAGTACATGCATGGGGAGAGAGAGGGAGAGAGTGCAGACATGCATAGAGAGAGAGAGACACACACACACACACACACACGAATTGGGTTTAGGGGTGGGGGGGCGTTTTATGCACAATGTTGAGGGTCTTTTCTGCACAAAAGGTGAGGGGCAAAATGAGAAACAAAAGGGTAAAATGGGATTTTCAGTTTTAAAAGTGGTCAGAGAGACTAGTTATGCACATTTTTTGAATTTTGTTGACTTGCATGCACTTTTTCAAAAAATAAGGACTAGTTCTGCACAACGTCTATATATCGGGGGGGTTTTCTGCACTTTACCCAATATAAAATGTAACACTTGGAAATCATTGAGTTATGATAAATAAAAAATAAAAAAAAACATTAAATTGCTTCCTATTCATCTTATTTTCTCCTCAGTTCTTAATCAGTTTAATTATATTCATTCAAGAAATATATATTTTTTATCTAACTTTAATCTATGTTAGACATTGGTTTGGCTGTCAATTTATCCAACACATACGAAAGGTTAACTGTTGGAGTCGGTGATGGATGGAACATTAACAAGTGCGTTGCATAATAAAATACATGCACCAACCATAATTTTAACCAACTATAATTTTATTTAGTACGTAACTTCATAAGGCATAAAAAGGAAATTACATAAAAAAAAATCCAAAACGTAAGGAGTAATGAACTCGATTGGTAAAACTATAGAGAGTCCCAATGACAACTACTCTTACTACAACTGTCTCATCTGGTTGTTACGTACTTATGCTAAGCAATCATATGGTATTAGAGCTTTGTTTAGTTTTTTATATGATTCTAGCTACACCCAAATAGCTCCGGCGCGGATGAGCTCTTGGACTAGTTCGCCCCTGACTTGGAGGCTCGTCACGTCTTTGGCACCGCCGACCAACTTCTGGCCTATGTACACAACAGGTAAACTTGGTTTTCGTCCCAGTTTGCTTTCGATTTCCTTTCCATCTGGGTGCTGGTCGAGCTCGTAAACAGTAGGATTCGCCCCAAAACTGCGTATCAGTTGCTGAATGGAGTGGCAAATGCCACATGAGCTCTTGCTGAAGATGACCACAGGATTTTGACCAACCAAGCTCTCCAATGTAACCATCTCTACAAATGATGAAGGAAGAGTTTGTCAGCAAGGGAGTGATCTAGAGAGAGAGAGAGAGGGGAGCGATATGAGATCTATGAGGCTTTGGATGAGCTAATACTTTGCTTTGAAGGACTTAAGAGTTAAGAGGTCCCTATATATACGCCTAGGGGTAGTGGTTTACACTGCTGAACAGAGAGAAAACAGCCAAAAAAAAAAAAAAAAAACGAGAAAGGGAAAATGTCCCAAAAGATTGATTTTTAGATTCCAAAACATGTTTGATCATTGTTTGATTAGGAACTGAAATAGCAAGTTGTACGTGAGTGGGGTTGTACGTTTTTTTATTGTGAAAAAGGATCAAATTATTTTAATTTTTTATTTCAACTTGTCATACAAATTAGAAAAGAAAAAAAAAAATGTTTTTTTTTTAAAAAATTTATTTATTTATTTGAAAAACGGTTAATTTGTATCATTTCATAACCCCAAGTGTGGCCAGAGAAAGGCAGTATATTTATATTTAAAAACCTGTGTGTGTGTGTATATATATTTTCAATAGGATGCAATTTGGAGAAGCTGCTGAGGAGGAGAAAGATGGTAGGGTTTATTCAACTGGTTATTTATTCAAATTTAGCAAAGCCGAAAGCTAATAGAATGACTAGTACATATACATGTGATTAATTTTTTTAAGTATAAGATGCTTATAAGAGGTAACTTTCCTTAAGAGTGAGCTACAAAAAATAATAAAAAATCCATATAAATACACTGTATATATATCCACGCCAGAATGAGAAGAAGATATAGCTTGGGACCTACAACATTATGCAAGAGAAGCTGCTGATCAAATATTCTTTCCCCATACATATAAAATACATTATATATATATATATATATCTATATCCATGCCAGAATGAGAAGAAGAATTAATATATAGCTTGGGACCTACAACATTATGCGAGAGAAGCTGCTGATCAGATATTCTTTCCCCATACGTATAAAATTAATCACATGTTATCAGTTGAACAATATGAGCAAATTTAAATTATGTCATTCTCAAAGCGTCATATGGTTCTTTGTGAAGAGGCCTATTTAGTTTAGCAATATGAGCCTGAGTTAAAGTTCGGATTTTTCTTTGAGATATTGGATTGATTTCGTTAGTTTCGATAATTTTATTCCGACAGGATTTTCACACTAAAAGTTTCGATCAGTATCATCTTCCAAATTTTTTTCTGTACGTGTGTTGACGAATGTAAATAATGAAGTTACACCCTCTCAAACAAACACTTTAAGCTTCTTCATTAACAAAATAATAATAAGAATATTAATTATCAATATTGTCTTTGTAATATATTTTGTTTACTTTGCATTGGGATCTCTGGACAATTTTATTAAGAAAAGAAAAACAGTAATTTCCTCAAATTCTCAAGATCGATCACATCTTATTTGGGTTTGAGAGAGAGAGAGAGAGAGAGAGAGTATATATAAATTCACTTTTGATATTTATACATTTCATTTTAATTTCGCTTGGATTTCTGACACCTCTACGCTAGTGCAACTCTAAGCCGTTAAAAAACCGAGTTGGACTCTAATTGGTTTTTCTAAGTTGCAACCTTAGAAAAAGAGAGAATGTCAACTTCAGTAGATCGACACAATCGAGAATAATATAAAGTAGAACGCGAGGTCGTTTCTTCGCATCACATAAATGAATTAGAAAGCTCCACGGTTTCAGCTTTTTGCAAATTGTTGTTTATTATATATTGCATTTCTCTTTTTCTCTCCTTCCTTTTTCGGGAAGAATATAAAGAAAAAAAAAAAGTTGACAACCATCTACTTTTACCTTTATTGCTTTTTCAGATGCCAAAAAGAAAATTCTCCCAAAATAACTGGTTTTCAAGGAGGTAACACGATTATATTTGCGCGTTTTGCCCGTGTGTGTATATATATATATATATCGTGAAAAGAAACTCGAGAAAATATATATATTTATATATATATTATGGATATTCTACTTATAGATGTTGTAATTTGAAAATGGAAGAAGCACAATAGATTACAGGTCATGGTAGTATAATTAATATTTGTACATATATTATGTACGTGTTTGCGCGTAACTTTTCCAACACATGCATGATAGTATCAATAATCTTTACTCAAAACAATATATTCTCTTCAAAATCTTTTCGTACTAGTTATTCTCCAAAATCTCTGATTAAAAATGAACAAAATCTGCAAGCTAGCCAAGACAAGTAAGTTGACAACTTTCAGTGTCGTGCACTTCTCAGGGCATCTTCGTACGGTTTAATTTCTTCTTTTTATTATATGATTCACATGGTTCCCTATTCCATTAATATTTTGTGCTCGTGCACGATGTACCAGATTCAATGTATGCGCGTGTGTTGATGTTAACCCGCATATACATATATATATATATATATAGAGAGAGAGAGAGAGAGAGAGAGAGAGCCCCTCTATAATTTGAGACCTCAGGCAAATAATACAAAATTTACCTACTAATAACTAGTATATTAATATTAAATAAAAATTAATAATATTTATTTAATTAACATATATATATATATATATTTTTTTTGTCTCTTTCAATGCGTACGGGCAGTATGTAAATGAAAGCAGAAATTGTACAAGCAAGCAAGCGCCAAAAAAAAAAAACAAGAAAACAAAAAAAAGATCATGCGCTCATGCATGCTTGATAATTAAGGCCTTAAAAAAACAAGTGTGAAGCGAGAACTTGTGAGTGTTGAAGAGTTCGCATTCAGATTCATGATCGTTTTCATTAATTGAGACATAGGACATCCTTCGTATGGGTTAAGACAAGGCGACCGTCTCTCACCCTACTTCTGCATTCGGACTTCAAATTAAGTGAACTTTTTTTTTTTAACTTGACTAATTTTTCATTCTCTTTCCAATGGTGTGCTCGATAGCACTCATTTCTGGGTAAAATGACCATTTTACCCTTGGTCCATTACTTGTAGGGTTTTGAAAACCTTGTTTCCTTCTTGCTTTCGTTGAGTCATGGGACTTCTCGAGAAGCCAATTTTGTGTCTTAGGGATGATGTACATATCTAGAGACCATGATTTTGTTTAGCTTCCGCATTTTGGATCCGTTACCGGGTCAACTTTCGAGTCATCACTGATGCACTGAGTTGAATAAAAACTCGGGTCATTACAAAAACGACCAGAAGGCAATTTTAATAGTACACGGCTCAACGAAAAGTGAAAATGAATCATGTACGAAGATCCAGGATCAAAACGAGGCATGTTTGCAATAACTTTCATTAATTACACAATGGCCCCTCCAAAAAGTGAAAACTGCACTAATGACCCATAATGAAAATATCTTCCAAAAATATTTTCTTAAAAATTCCTGAAATAAAATATTTTCAAAAGATATTTATAAAAAACACCCTAAGAAAAGAAAAAGATTCTGAAAAATTATGCATCCATGCCCTTATAGACACCGGGAGCAACCAGAGTACTTTACTCCAAAAGCAAAGATACATATTTCGTGGAAACCACTTAGAATGAAGATACATGAAGTCAAAAACCAACTCCGAACACAGAAAGTGAGGTTATGGCAACAAAGTGACGAACGGGGAAAAGACAAAATAGGAAAAATGACGAAAAGTGAATACTGTCAAAAAGCGAAAAATGCGGAAATGACTCAGTCCTTAAAGGAAGTTGTCAATCCAAAGGAAAGAGTCTTAGAAACCATTTCTGAGCACTCGAGACGTCACTAAGTGACGAGAAACCAAACACAGAAAGGAAAAGATCAACGAAAAATATATATATATATATATATATATATATATATATATCCGTGAAAATCTGAGAAAAAAGAAAGGAAGGAAAATGACAGAGTCATTATATGTTACCATCCTTGGCCTCCTCCCAATGCTAAATCTAAGCCTTACACTTGTCATCATTCTAGGCTAACAAGTGTTCCAATTACTTGTCACACTTTCTCAAAATTACAAAAAGGTCATTCCTCTAAATATTTCAAAGAATATTTACAAAAAAGTCCCTAAGACAAAATATTTTAAAATTAATTATGCAAATAACCCCGAAAAACGAAAATATTTCCGAATAAACTATGCATCCACATCCTGAGAATTCAAAATTAAACAAGCATGCTTTTCTATAAAATTAAATCATACATTGATAGTAAAAGATAAAATAATGCAATGCGTGTTGGGCTGAAAATCGGTTCCAGACACCGAACCTTACCTTGGGTTCAACAAAACCTTAAGGCAACGCGAAAAAGAAATAAACAATTAAAAAAATAATTAAATAAAAAAATGAATGACGAAAAAAAAAAAAAAAAAGAGATGCCACGGTCATCACAGATTGCATAACATGGGAAACGAGTGCCCAAGGAAAGACCTTTTGCCCTGTTGTAATATCATAAATAATCGATGCAATATCCATAGAGTAACTTGCACTATTAACCACAGCCTTAACAACCAGCTTTGCATCTGATTCAAAGCACACATTCAGGAAATGGAACGATGTGGCCTAGAAGATGGCATGTCTAAGACAAATAGCTTTTGCCGCCAATGCCGAGGATGAAGGAAATTGTGTAAACACCACTAATTGAAGTATAGAACCAGAAAATTCATGAAAGACTGCACCCCCTCCACCCAAAAGGGATTCTGCTGAAAAACGAGTATCAGCATTACATTTAAATATCTGAGGTAATGGAGGAACCTAAGATTGAGGAGATTAATAGCTTTTGCCACTAATTGTCTTCGTGCACTTTAAATGAACCTCTGTATATTCCTAAAATCGAGCCACAACCAATTTCACCACCACCAAAGGGCTCCATATCTCGTCCTCAAACTATTTTTAGCCTTCCATATAAAACAAACACAAAAAGAAACCACCCCCAAGAAATAATTTGTATCTAGTGAAGAGGTAGCCTAACCAACAAGATTCAACCACCAATCCAAAAAGGAAAAAAAAAAAATAGCATTTGAGAAATCTTACTTGGGGGTCGATAGTTCCACACCTGTAATGAGTGAGAACACCTCACAAAAATGTGGATGATGTCCTCTGCCTCTGATCCACAACGAGTGCAAAGAGAAGAATGCAGAAGCCCCATATGAAAAAGAGTAATTCCCATTGGAAGCGCACCATGACAA